CAAGGAACAGCTAGATGCCAGCAGACCAGTAACACCACAGCCACATGGCAACTTACAGATTAATAGAAATGGGTTAAGTTATAAGAGCTAGCTAGCAAGAAGCTTGAGCCATAGGCCCTCCAGTTCGTAACTAATATAAGACTCTGAATGATTATTTTATAAGCGGCTGCGGGACCCAAGGGTTGGATGGAACCGGAGAAACACGGGACCGTGGGGCCAGGTGGGACCACAGAAACTTCTGGCTACAGATGACTCTGCAGGTAAGGGCGCCTACCACCAGGCTTGATGACCTGGGTTAGCTCTCTGGGATGCACAGGATCGGAACGAATTGACTTCTGCAAGTTGTTCTCTGGCTTCCATGTGCTCACTGTGATACACTGAGGCGCTTTCCCAGACACCTCCTCCCCCGACACAAACAAAATAAAATGTACTAAGACATCTTTTTCATCCTGATTTTAGCAGTGTTGTCTGTGGCAATAATACTATCATCACCGTAATATTTTTTGAAAAATAAACTCTGACCCAGACTGACAAGACCTAAAAACAATGGCCCCACCAATGGGAATCCTACACTAAGACTCAGCAGGTCACCAACCTGCTCCAGAGACCCTTGGAGGAACATCCGAGTCCACACCTAGGGCAGGAAGTGGATGAGATGAGCCACCTTGTCACACCAAAAACAAGGAAAAAGCAAAGGCCACCAACGTCCTAGCAAAGAACACAGGAAACATAAGCTTCAACAAGCACACCAACTCCAGCTGAGCGCCATGGCATACACCTGGAGGCAGAGGCAGGTGGATCTCTGTGAGTTCCCACATAGATTCAAGATGTGCAGCAGCCTTTAATTTTTTTTTTTTATGGAAGAAACACATCAAATAAATACAGAGTATTAAAGAGTTGAAAATCATGCTCAGTGTGGTTTTACCCTTTAACCCCAGTGCTTTGGAGGCAGAGGCAGGCAGATCTCTTGTGAGTTCGAGGCCAGCCTGGTGAGTTCCAGGCCAGGCGAGGCTATATAGAGACCTGGCCTTAAATAAAAAAGAAGCTAAACCAAAGTTGAAAACCACAGGCAGGGCGTGCTAGTAAACACTTGTAACTGCAGTGTTGGGAGGCTGAGGCAGGAAAGTTGAGAGAATAAGGCTAGCCTAGGCTTCCGAGTGAGTTCCAGGTCAGCCTGGGTGACAGAGTGACAGCCTGTCTCAAAAAGCTACATGCACACACATGCACACACACACACACACACACACACACACGGCCTGGCTTGAGCTTCTGAAACCTCAAAGCTCCCTTCCATGCCCCCCCCACCCCCAGTGACATACTTCGTCCAACAAGGCCACGCCTACTCCAACAAGATCACCTCTCCTAATCCCTCTCAAGTAGTGCCACTCCACGATGGCTAAGCATTCAGATCTATGAGCTCTGGGGGCCGTTCTATTCAATCCACCACACCAAAGAACAGCAAGAAAAGACTCCTTTGGCAGCTGGGGAAACCTGTACATGATCTGAATACTTAGTAATTAGTCTGTGCTTCGTTGGATAACACGGCATTATGGTCAAGTAGTTAAACAGTCTATTTTTAAAATTGTGTGTGTGCACATGCGGGTGCCTGCCGAGGCGGAATAAAGGGTGTTCAACCCCCTTCAGCGGGAGTTACAGGAGCTTGTGGATGGGGGGGGGGAACGGAAGTCCGATTCTCTGGCAGAGCAGCCAGTGCTCTCAGCCACTGAGCCATCTCTCCAGTGAAGTCCTACTTTTTTAGGGCTACATACCAAAGTTTTATAGGTGAGACAAAATGGTCCGGCATAGGATTTTTAAAATAACCCCTGGAGAGGGGCTGGAACAAACAGCAGGGTTTGAGCTGTGAAGCTGGGCTCTGGGCATACCAGACACGCTACTCAGGCTGTTTGACGATTTTCAGTTAAGTTAAATAATACGGAGAAGACTTTATTTGGATTTTATTATTGTTTGTGTGTACCACATGTGTGTGTCTGTGTAGAGAGGACGTCTGAGGGGTGTCAGGTCCCCTGGAGCTGGTGTTGCAGGCAGTTTTGAGCTGCCCGATACAGGTGCTGGGCATTGAACTAGGGTCCTCTGCAAGAACAGGATGTGCACTTACCGACTGGGCCCTCTCTCTTCCAGCCCCATAAAAAACGTTTTCAGAAGTCCAATGAGCCCTTTCGTGGGGATTCATGGTTGACCACTCTAGAGTGTCAGGGGCAGGAAGGCCAGTCGGGTAGGTGAGCTCAGAGAAGGCAAGGCAGGAAGGCCTGAACTTGACCGGAGGCCAGAGTGAAACTATGATGTGCTAGGATGTTGTTACTGCACCCCACTGCTGAAACCCTGCCCCACATGCCAGCTACACTCTGTCCACAGTGTCCTCGCTGTGACTGCTCCATCTTCTGTGACCCTTTTGAGAGAGACGGTTCCTACCCCCACTCCCATACGCCTGTACCTGGGTGATGGGCCATGGTGCCCTCTGCTGGCCGCAAATGGAACTGAAGCTGCCAAAGCTAAGAGTCCCCAGGAACCGAGAGACACTGATTTCAGCACGGACCCCCTTCCCGCTCAGAAAAGACAAACACACACCAAGTAAACATATAAGAAGCTTTTAATTTCATCACCATAAACATTATACTCTGATTTCTCACATACAGTATAAAATATTTACTCTGCTAAATAAATAAGACACAACATTATTGCAATCAGCACTGAAATCCACCCCCTAGACAAGAGCTCCTTGGCTCTGGCAGGGAGTAGTCCTGAGTTGGTGTGAAATTCCCCAGGCTGTGACAGATATGCCCCAGAGGCTGTGATGGGCTGAGGCCTAAGGAACCACATTTGTGCTTAGGGTTCAGCAAGCCCCACATAGAGATCATGGAGCCAGTGGACAGAGTTGGAAGGGCAATAGCTTCATGGGTCCT